ACACACACAGACAACCTCTCGACAATATGCGTTTTTGCTGACCGAAGTAGCGCAACAGTGCTGCACAGCAAAACGCATAAAAATGACCACTAAATGAAAATTGTTTATTTTCGGTTATGCAAAATTAACGATAATTTACGGTAGTGAACGCACAAGGTAGGTGTGAGGCAATAACCATTCATCCAATTAGTCTAATTCAAGTGTGGCGCAAAAACGTATGATCGCACCGGCAAGCTTGATGCTTTCTAGTCTGGTGCTCTGTTTTCTGTAGATTCTTGGTTTTCTACTTTCATTCAATCACCAGATTTTTTATTACATAACAATAAATGGTTGTGCGAGCCAAGAATCGGAGCGGTTATGTGTTTTTGCAACGAACTGCTATGGGTTTACAGTGGGGGCACATATTGTTATAATTCAGGGAGTTGTTTTTACCTCGTTGTGGTGGTTTTTGGCACTACTGCTGGTTTCTAGTTGTCTCACTGCAGATATCTATCTAATATTGAAACTAACGAGACAGAACATCCCTATTATGTGGTGTCTTTGTACTCGCGAATTGTTCTTGATTTGACACCCTTTGCTGCCGACAGAGCACTGCGACTTCGTCGCAATACTTCACTGATACCTCAGTATCGCGTGAAGACATGGTCAGAGGTGTGCTGCAGCCCGCATCCGGGTCCGATGCTGTCTCAGAAACGGCTGTTCATTGATCAGCCACTCATGCTAATTAATTTCCTATGGAATCTACTCTTGCTCGGTTTGGCAATTAGAAATGGGGAAAACGATCGCAATCCACCTGTTCACTGACAAGCTGCATCGGTAGTGAGCAGGTGCACAAAATATGAATGTCAGGACAAATTGAGTTTTTCAGTTCTTACTATTCTCGCCAGGGGTTACTTATAGCTTCCGTAAACACTTTCTAAATTCACTAGTAGAAACTTCGATTTATCGCCCATAAACTACATTCGAACCACACATCGACTAAAAGGAATTTGGTGCTTATGCTTCGATGTAGCTATAATTCAGAGCACAGAAAGAAAAATATTTTCAAGAAATTGGTGAAAAGGCAGGCTCGAGTATACAGCAGCCTGAGCAGCTTTAGTGTGCCGGTAACTAGCCTTCGCTTTTAAGATTTATCAGATACTTAAGAGAGCCAATTTAAGCTGCAAGCCAAAAAACCAAAACCATCTCCCTTTTGCAAAAATAACCCGCAGGAAAGGAAACCATCGCAGCTTTACCAACATACAGTTACTGTCGGCACATGCTATCGCTCGGATCAACTTAGATTGCTCCCGCCTTATAAAGATTTAAATATAAAATTTTCTTTTTATCCCAAAAAAGTTTAAAGTCGTAGATTAAAAGAGATACCGATTTGAAAGCTAACTTCCTTTGAAAGGCCTCGTTCAAGAATAGTTGAGAGAAATTTAGATTTTTAATTTTCATAGCTTCGGGATTATTAAACGTTTGGCTGCACAATATGCACTTTCATACACACACTAAAACTTCCAAGCGATTACTCTTGCGTAGCAACGTGGGATCGCAGCGAGTTTCTCCGTGACCTCGGTGAACAATAAATGAATTGCTCGGCGACATATCCGTTGCTTATGCGCATTTGCCTCATCTCCAAGCACTGCGCCTCTGGCTCTTGCCGCTGAAGAACTGCGTTTCCTTGGCTTTTCTTCTGAGACCAGTTTCTTTGTCCTGTAATGAGCGGACACTCTGAAGATTATTTCCAGGCTGTTGCTGCCTTCATGGAGTAAGAAAAAAGAGTGACCTTTGAACAGAACTTCATCCCGGTGTACTTTCTGGGCGTATTTTATATCCTCCTTTTCGATGGTGTACTCAGCTTCAGTGCTGCTGCTCTGCACTGACTTCGTTGGAGTGCTCTTATCGTCTATTTTTTTCATTTCCTGAAAAATCTCTTTCAGGAAGCCGCACACACAGAGTGCGGAAAAAGTTGTGTCTCCTTCACTGTAACTGCGCTCCTTCCCAAATTGATCAGCTATTCTTATTTTTAACAGCACCTGTCAGCCGCTTTTAAATTTTTTCGGCTATTTTGAGCTCCTTGTTGGGCTTTAGTTTTTTTGAGCTCTTGACCAAGTTCAACCTCATAGCAACCGAATTTCGTGATCTTATAGCTAAATCCTGCACTATTTTTCTTCGACTGAAATGTTTTTGAGGTTCTCAAGACAAAATAAAAAGCAGCCGCTTTGAAGCGTATTTCATTCATTTCCCAGGTTCACAACCCAGGCTAGAACGCATCAGGTTTGCCGGCGTGATCATTCATATTTGCACCGGACTTAAAGTACTCAGGCCGTTAACTGCATGAATGGTTTCTGGTTAACAGCTACCTTTTGCGCTCGCTCGCATAAATCATCGTAAATTTTGCATAAGGGAAATGAACAATTTTTGTTTAATGGTCGTTCTTTGAAACTGACTTAGCTACTCAGTGAGCAATTTCTCACCAAAATTTTAAGCGCCTGCACATTTGAACCATGCATACCTGGAGTCTGAGTTTGAAATATTTAAGCTGTACTCGGACAGGGGACATTGCCCTAAAAATTTCAGCTTTCTAGCTCTTCTGGTTCCCGAGTTAATAATTTTCCCGCCAAAACATGCCCACACGTGAGTGCCGCGCGCGCGAGGAGATTGAATTTGAAACATTTAAGTTGTATGTGGATGGGAAATATGCCCTTAAAATTTCAGCCTTCTAGTTTTTCTGATTCTCAAGTTAGCAGTTTTCACGACAAAACTTTCACGTGCCCGTATATAAGAAGCGCGCATACTTACAGGCTCAATTTGAAATCATTAACTCGCACATGCACAAAGAATATTCCTACAGTGTTCTAGCTCTCTATCTTATCTGGCTCCCGAGATCGCTTTCACGCCAAAAAATTTGCATATTTTTTATAGACACCCCTAAGCAGCACTCAGATGTAGGCAAGTGATAGCTTCGAAACAAATGAGTTGCACAGGTGGTAGGCATATGGTTCCGAAGTTTCAGCTTTCGAGTTGAAAGTGGGTGACAAAAAGTGCAAACACACAGATACACACA